CCCACCCACACACACACACACACACACACACAAGTGGGTGGTCTATTCCTCCGTCCCACTCATGTGCGCTGCCAGAAATACCTCCTTGTTATAAACAAAATAAACATCTGACTGCTCTGAGGAGAGTTATTCTGCTGACCGCAACAGAAGTGATGTGAGCTAGTGTCATCTTTCAGCGAAATACAAGGCTGGCGGAGTCCATTTCGACCTACAAAAATATGTATAGGAAACGGGAGAGAGAGAAAGGAACCACCAGAAATGGAGAACAAAAGCGTTCACCTGACAGCTACCTGGTCTCATTGGTGGATTAGATTAGTTTCAGCTGGCGCAGCGGGCGGGTATCTTTATTTCGGTTCTAATTTTCCCCAAAAAATTCAACGCCCTACGTCGGTGAATGATACCAATCGGAGTCAAACAATCCAATGGGCATTCGCTACGTTTCAACAACGGTCAGAGCACTTGAGAGGTGGTGAAAGGTGATAATGGTATCGATGGAAGCACACACGATTGAATGTGAAACGTGAAGCAAACACTAGAGATTCCCATACAGTTGTACCGAACATGATAAACTGCTAAATACTCAACATGTGAAGAGTCTGAACTTAACTTTAGACCTCTTTAAAAGCACCCCTTCGTGTAATGTTGTCGTGAAAACCGCGGGAGGGTAGAGACATTTCCGGCGATTTATACAAATTAATATTCTTAATTACAAACCCTAATGTGATGAACAGCAGATGGGGTAAACCCCATTCTCATGGGGACCTGCTGCTGTTCAGTGATAGAAACCGGTAACCTAAGCCCCGGGACTTGGAGTGGTGAACCACATAAGGCCTCGCTAGGTTAGGCGTGGTACTCAACCGATAGCAAAAGCTGCCTAACACCAGAGTTAGATGGCGGTAAACAGCTTTTTTGTCATCCGATCATACATGGAGCACATTACATCAGAACATGAATGAAGTTCCTGCATAAAACTATTGTTAAGTTCTAATAGGTTCATGGGGAGAAAAGAAATTGCTGATGACTGAATCCTACGGTCCGTTTATTGACGTTTAAGATGGACTCAAATTATGAGATTTAGGTTGTTGGTCCACGTTCAGACGATATGCATCTCTTTCATTGCTCAAAGCACAAAGCTAAATTTATGCTGTGATCAAGGCAACCGTTGTTTTGTGAGTGTTTGACGTATCGTTTGAACCCACACATGTGAGAGACCTTGAGCAGATCCTTTTAGGCACTGACTGGAGTTACGATGGGTTACGCGTCTTGGTGGCCATCATAGTAAACTAGAGATTTGAACCGATCAATACCCGTGTAATATCGTGAGCAGTTGCTGACATGAGTCAATCTCCAAAGTCGGAGTTAGAACGCTACGTCTAAAAGTGGAGAAATTGAAAGTGTGAGAAATTTTGCCTCCAACGCCATTGTCCTTGTTGATCTGATCGTCTCCTCCGGCAACCAACAAAGATGCTCTTAGGTCACTGCATCCACGCCACACTTTACATATGTTAACACTGCCGTTCTGATGATCAACTCCAGATGTAGCTTGGCATCATCAATTCCGTATTGGAGATTCGGAGCTACGATTGATGTGTATGAAGCACTGACTGAATGGAAATCTGTATTGATCAGGCCCCTGATTACCGCCAGTGGACTCCTGTTACTGCTGTCAAAGTTGTTCACGAAGATGATTCATCATCATGCAGGGGGTAGAAGTTAACATAAATGTCTTGATTCCTAAATAGAACAACGCTTACAAACTTGATACAGAACAAACAGTTTGCAAAACTGCTTGATTATCACTCACAATGGTGTTTTTTGTCGTACATTTCCAGATTTGCCAGTAATAAGATAATATTTTGCTCGATAGACATTATCCTTACCTATGTTTCAGCAATACAATCTGTCTATAGTTGGCCGAGACTGCCAGTCTGAACCCGAATACCAACGTACAGTGAATACATACGCGTCCACATTGGTCAGAATTGAAGATGATGAACCGTAGAGAAAACAAGTTCGCATGAAGACGTGGATAACACTGCACGATGCCATTATTTCGTTCACTGTTTTCAATTGTTTATAAGAACAAATGAGCTTAGGCGTTACCAGAGGGACAGGACAATGAACAATCTGTTTCTAGAACTACACTTTGTTTGATTTTGACAGAGTTTTACAAAGCGTCAGAAGCTTATCAAATTTCTGGATACCGTCGGAGGATATCATTAAACACAAATGACAAATAAGTGTCGGGATATGGGCTGGATTGCAAATTTACGCACTTAGTTCCGTTGAAAAATCATTTGAAAGACTGTTGATAATTCACATCACACGTGCTTTAGTGACAATCAGACCAATAGAGCTTACCGAGCTCACGTCGGAAGACAATTCCACATCACCTACTAGATCACTTCCCATTCCATATCCAGTCGGCGGTCGGTTGATCAGCGTACCTTTTGGTTTGTGTGGGTCGCGTTTTAGGACTGGCGAATCATCTCCGTATGTACTGTCCACATCGCTGGACGAGCGTAAAACTGGTCTCGGTTCCGATTCGCGTTTGGTCTCGTTGATGATAATCACCCGCGGTCGAGTTTGTGGTTGGTGTGTTCTGTCTGGATCAGACGGTGTCTCGTCTATTATTGTCTCTTCCGATCCGGTATCAAGCACGGTCGAGGGTGTGTTCTGGGCGAGTTGCACTTCTTTCATCACTTCTCGTTTGGACAGGTTCGATTTCTCACGAAGTGAACTCCGATGCACCGAGGACGTACTGTTTTATTCAAGGATAAGGAGGTAGTGGTGGTGGAAAACGGAGGACGTGAATGACAACTTCGATTGGAAAGGAGTAAGCTAAAGCAAGAATCTCTCAAAGGAGAGTTTGGGTGAACCTTTCCTTATTCACACTGTAGCTGACAAAATAAGTGAATTGACGGTGCAAAACTCATAAAGGCATCAGGAAATTAGTAACTGGATCACTAATACAAGCCACTTTTGATATTCCCTCATCGGAAATCCAGCCCATTTTCTATCAGCTTTGAGAAATGACATTTCAGTCGACATTCGGATGCTAGTGCCGGACTGGGCGGGAATCTGATAAGTGAGTTCAGGAGAATTCAAGAAAACGTTCCGTATGATTACCATTGGAAGCATAACGGGAAGTTTACTAAGTAAGCTTTTGTTCAACAGATTATATAAATGAGGGCAATGGATGTCGCCTGCCATGGCCGATGCAACCAGTTCACACGTACAAAAACACCTTTTCACAGAACCATTTTTAGTTCAATAGCAGTCATTGGGCTTGAGTTACCGCTTCCCTTCAGCGAACAATAGAAT